AGTAATTCCTCCCTAGGTATACACCCAGAAGAACTGAAAACATGTCCACACAACAATTTTCACAAATGGTCATAGTAGCATCATGCACAATAGCCAAAAAGTGGAAACAACTCAAACATCCATCAACTGGTAGATAAATAAAATGTGGTATATCCATACAATGGAGTATTATTCTGCCTTAAAAAGGAATGAAGTGGGACACCTGGGTGGCTCAGTCAGTTAAGTATCTGACTCTTGGTTTCAGCTCAGGTCAGGATCTCAGGGTCATGAGAACAAGCGTGGGGTCAGGCTCCAAGTTCAGCAAAGAGTCTGCTTGTCCCTCTCCCTCCCCCTCCGCTCCTCCCACGCTCACACTTTCTCTCTCTAAAATAAATGAAGAAATAAATAAAAATTTTTTAAAAATTTAAAAAGTAATGAAGTGCTGATATGTGCCACAACATAGACAAGCCCTGAAAACAGGCAAAGTGAAAGAAACCAGACACACAAGGCAATAATATATGGTATGATTCCATTTATATGAAATACTGAGAATAGTCAAATCCAGAGACAAGTAAGCAGAGTAGAGGCTGCCAGGGGCAGGGAGAAAGGAGAAATGGCAAGTGACTGTTCAATGGGTACAGTTTCCTTTGAGGGTGATGAACAAAATCTGGAACCAAATAATGGTGGCGGTTCCACAAGATTGTGAACATCCTTAGCACCACTGAAACTTTTTCATTATGTGAATTATATCTCAATTAACACAAGAAACTCTACATCACAAAACATAGATGTTAACATCCTATCAGAGAAATGTGGATTATTTTGGTATCCCATTAAAAACCTTATGGTTAATTTCATAAGGGAATTATTAATATTTTATTATTGTTTATTATTATTTTATTAATATTTTAATTATAAACTTTTTTAAAAGATTTTTTTCAATTTTTAAGTAATCTCTATACAGGGTTCAAACCCACAACCCCGAGATCGAGAGCTCCACCCACGGCGCCAGCCAGGCACCCCTCAAAATTAAACCTTTTTCTATAATGTCAATGTCATACTTAAGATTTCCTATTTGTTAGGAATTCTCATAAAACGCTTAGCACCAGCTTTGCAATGCTTAGTCTGCCAAGGTAGGAATCAATTTTATATAATATCTAGACAATTCAAGTCAATTTTTAAATGGAATAAATATCTTATTAAACTTGTCTTACCAATATCCTGTGTTAAATTTTAGTATAGGAGAGGAACGTGTTTATTTGTGATGAACAAGATCAGCAAAAGATAAAAAACTTTTTAAATAGCAAAATTTACCTGGTTTGCTTTAGCACTCATGAACTTATCTCTTGACATTTTTTTTTAATTTTAGTATTTAATAGAGAAATGCAACATTTAAAAAATGCCATGTCAAATGCAATAGCAGCCCGTTAATTTATTTTACTTCAGATACAATAGAAAATGCCACTTCTGGGGGAGCCTGGGTGGCTCAGTCTGTTAAGCATCTGACTCTTGGTTTCCGCTCAGGTCATGGTCTCAGGGTCGTAAGATCAAGCCCCCCATCAGGCTCTGCACTCAGCGCAATCTGCTTGGGATTGCCTCTCTCCCTCTCCCTCTGTCCCTCCCCCTGCTCACGTGTGCTCATGCTTTCTCTCTCTAAATAAATAAATACAATCTAAAAAAAACGCCACTTCTGCTGAACCTGATTCTAGGTGAGGCCAACTTCGGTCACCTACATAACCATATGCCCAATGTTCATTCACAATCTTCCTGGCTGCTCTTAACAGGGTTTGAGTACAGTAGGCCCTCAATATACATGAATTAATTACATAAATTATCAGATTAAATAAAAGTCTCAACTTAAGATAATAAATCTCTTCTGCACCTGTGCAAACCAGGCACTGGAACCAGATGTTTATACATATTATTACTCATTTCAACCTCACGATACTTTACAGACAGGTTAAGTAACTTACCTAAGGTCATAACATAGTCAGTTGTAAAGCCAGAATTCAAACCAAGGTCTGCCAGGGATACACTCGGTTTTGCTGAAACATTCCAAGTATTGGCTACAAAGGAATGTATTTTCAGTTTAATTGGCAAACACTCATATTCTCTCTTGAACATGGCTTCAAAGTGTTTAGGGAATGAGAAAGTGCTTGAAATGTGCTTGAAGAGAATATTATTGAAGAACAAAGTGAAGTGTCTGGGAGAACGTGCAATGCACTGTGTGCCCATTATGGTGCCACGTGCTGTGCTGGCTATTTTTTTTTAAGATTTTATTTACTTATTTATTTGTCAGAGAGAGCACAAACTGGGAGCGGCAGGCAGAAGGAGAAGCAGGTTCCCGCTGAGCAAGGAACCCAATGCGGGACTCGATCCCAGCACCCTGGGATCATGACCTTAACCGAAGGCAGATACTTAACTGAGCCACCAGGCATCCCTGGGCTGGCTATTTTAAATGCATGAACACTTCATTGTTAACAACAATCCTGGGACACAAATATTGGTACCTCATTTTTTACATAAGATGAAACTGAAGCTTAGAAGGTTCAAGAAGGTCCAAGTTTACAGAAGTCGCAAGGCACAAAATTGGGATTAGAAATCAAATTCAGTCCATCAAGAAGTATTTACTGAGTGCTTACTAGATATCAGGGCTAGAAGAAGCACTTAGGATAGAATACTAGAGATCCCCCACATACAGCTCAAAACAAACCCATTTTCTTTTTGCTTAAGGAGTAAGTCATTGGAAATTGCAAAATCTCAATAGATTTTTCCTTTAATAGTTTTGTTTTCAGTAATTACTCATGCTTTGGTTAGATGTGTTAAGTACTGCCCCCTAAACTCCAAAGTTGACTGCCAGGAAGATTGAACAAACCTCCAGCAGCAAATGTAAAAATGGAAGCGAATTCTGTCCTACATGCATGATTTTGAACATACTGCTGGATGTAGAGGACCACTTTGGAAAATAAACTTCACATGTTCTGGAGGATGGATTAAACCCTTTAGCATTCTGTGAAGCTTCTGAAGGTCTGGCAGATTTTAAATGACAACAATGAAATTTCAAAAAGAACAGGATAAGTCAGCACCAGAACTAGTTTAACATTAATAATAAGTGATCTAATAAATAGGTCTATGTTTGCCCAGTCAGGTTTTGCTTATTATGTCAGTTGGAAAGCCGGAAGGAAACTGGTTTTAACTCCCATCAACTTGTATCAGGACAACATCACTTTATCAGAAATGTAGCTGATGTCAGCGTAACAGAGGCAGTTCAAATTAAAATTGACCTTTCTTTTCCAACTATTTTTGCAATTCATTCATGGTATAGAGTTGAGAGCAATTACCATTTGTCGTGAGCTTTCTATGTGCCAGACATTACATGAAATTTTCTCATTCGATTCTCACAGCCACCCTGTAAGATATTAACCTTGTCTTTTAGAGGAAAGAAGTTTTGAGAAATGAAGTGACTTTTCTAAGGCCACATAGCCTGTAAAGAGGCAGAACCAAGGTTGAAACTCAAGAAAGAGGTCAGTTACCATCATGTTCCATAGCACTAAAAAGCTGTCAGTTTCTTATCTTGTACAGAAAGCAGAGTAAAATAGTGATTTGGATTATAAACTGTTTTAGTACCTCGAAAGTAGTGTAGAATGATGTTGACCTTTTAAAAATTCCTAGGAAGGTCATTGTAAAAGACAATATAAAATGCCTTGAAGTCAAAGTATTAGTCTTTCAATAACATTTAAAAATAACAAATAAATAAATAAATATAACACTTAATATTATGAACAGAGAACCAAGTTTAAAAAAAAAAAAAAGTTCTATTCCAAAATAATGGTGTTTAAGAGACTGCACCAGTGCAGGCTGGCTCAAGACAACACTTCCCAGTTAACTCCATGGAAAACTAATCCCTATAAAATATTGAAAGACAATGAGCTTCCATTGTTAAACAAGCTTGAGAAATGTTGCACTAAACACTAAACCAGTCTTCTTTCCAGTTACAAATAGTACAATGTAGTGCTTGAAAATCCTCCGGAGCCAGTTTATCTGAGATGGAGTCCTGGCTCTTCTACCTGCTAAGCCATGTTAGTAACTTTGGGCATGTTATTTTACCAATGTGGACCTCAATTTTCTCATCTGTAAACAAAAGGAGGTAATTGCAGAAGACAGACTTGTAATACATGTGGGATTGCTAGAACAGAGCCTCAAAATACTAAGTACTAATGTTAAATTGTTAGTGGTAATATTATTTCCCTGAGCCTTTATTAAGCTGATGAAAGTTGATGTTTATGGTTAATCACCAAGTGGGAAAGGGATATGGTATGCAGCTTCTTCTCAAAATTATCCTGTGGAACCCACTTTTTCAAAGACCATCAAAAGACTGGTTAATGTCTTTAAAACAAAAACCAAAACACACACAAAAAAAACATACTCTGAGAAATAATAGAGAATTCTAAAATAAAATCTGTTAAAAAAAAAAAAAGAAAACAAGGTTAGTGCTTCCCAGTTGCTGAACACATCAAGGTGCTGGAAGGGTAACACGTCCAGAGTGGGCGTGGAAGTGCTCCTTCCCCCATACCCTGTCCTACATGGCTCTTCCATTTGGCTGCTCCTGAGTTGTGTCCTTAATAATAAAGCAGTAACATCTCCTTACATGGATTCAGTGGCCAGAACTTGTACATATACTGAAATGAAATACCATTTTGTTTTCTATTCCATAACTCACACTGGCTTCAAGCCATCATCTGCCTCATCAGATCAGTCATTCAATTATCCAAAATTCTGTGTGTTACCTAGTCAGTCATCATCCAGCCTGGAGGCATCTGAATAAGAAAAAAAAAAAAAAAAGTTTTCCATTATCAAGATACGGCCATCTCTTTAAGTCTCATATCCCCTGTATAGATTTGGAAGATATTCAGATTGTGTTTTTTGCATTTGGTGTTTATTGTGCCCAGTTGCAAAATTTACAGTCATTGCTGGAAGCGCCAATTATGTTACCCTATCATTAAGAATTTTTCTAAGCGGCTCTACAACTGGGGACGCTCGCAGCTCTCGGCGCTGGGCCCAGCTTCCTTCAAAATGTCTACTGTTCACGAAATTCTCTGCAAGCTCAGCTTGGAGGGTGATCACTCCACGCCCCCAAGTGCATACGGGTCGGTCAAAGCATACACCAATTTTGATGCTGAGCGTGATGCTCTGAATATTGAAACGGCCATCAAGACCAAAGGTGTGGATGAGGTCACCATTGTCAACATTTTGACCAACCGCAGCAATGAACAGAGACAGGATATTGCCTTCGCCTACCAGAGAAGGACCAAAAAGGAACTTGTATCAGCACTCAAGTCAGCCTTGTCCGGCCACCTGGAGACCGTGATTTTGGGCCTTTTGAAAACACCTGCTCAGTATGATGCTTCTGACCTGAAAGCCTCCATGAAGGGGCTGGGGACTGACGAGGACTCCCTCATTGAGATCATCTGCTCAAGGACCAACCAAGAGCTTCAGGAAATTAACAAAGTCTACAAAGAAATGTACAAGACTGATCTGGAGAAGGACATCGTTTCTGACACATCTGGTGACTTCCGCAAGCTGATGGTTGCCCTTGCAAAGGGTAGAAGAGCAGAGGATGGCTCTGTCATTGATTATGAACTGATTGACCAAGATGCCCGGGATCTCTATGATGCTGGAGTGAAGAGGAGAGGAACTGATATGCCCAAGTGGATCAGCATCATGACTGAGTGGAGTGTGCGTCACCTCCAGAAAGTATTTGAAAGGTACAAGAGCTACAGCCCTTATGACACGCTGGAGAGCATCAAGAAGGAGGTCAAAGGAGACCTGGAAAATGCTTTCCTGAACCTGGTCCAGTGCATTCAGAACAAGCCCCTGTATTTTGCTGACCGGCTGTACGACTCCATGAAGGGCAAGGGGACTCGTGATAAAGTCCTGATTAGAATCATGGTCTCTCGCAGTGAAGTGGACATGTTGAAAATTAGGTCTGAATTCAAGAGGAAGTACAGCAAGTCCCTGTACTACTACATCCAGCAAGACACGAAGGGTGACTACCAGAAAGCGCTGCTGGTACCTGTGTGGTGGGGATGACTGAGGCCCACGATGGATGAGCACCCAGCAGTGGTGCTCCTTTGTTTCCAGCTAACAGTTCTAGAAAATAGCTTGTGACTAACAGACCCCTTGTGCCTGTCCCTGTGAGGATAGCGTTGCCTAAGCATTGCCTGCCTCTCATGTCTATCTAGTCTCTCCTTTTAGCCAAAGAAATGAACATTCCAAGGAGTTGGAAGTGAAATCTATGATGTGAAACACTTTGCCTCTTGTGTACTGTGTCATAAACAGATGAATAAACTGAATTTTTACTTTAAAAAAAAAAAAAAGAATTTTTCTAAGCAATATGTGTTAGGATCTTCAGAAATGCTTATAGCCTTTGATCAAACAAATCCATTTCCAGAATCTATACTGTGGAAATAAATAAAGAATACATGATAGAATTTTATGCAAATACATATATTGCAACATGGTTTAATAGAAAATTAGAAATACAGTTGACGCCTGAACAAAGTGGGCGTTAGGGGCATTGACTCCCACACGGTCAAAAATATAATTTTAACTCCCCAAAGGCTTAACTGATAGCCTACTGCTGAGCCAATAACATAGTTGATTAAAACTTACTTTGTATACGTATTATATACTATATTCTTATAATAAAGTAGGCTAGAGAAAAGAAAATGTTATTAAGAAAATCCTAAAAATGAGAAAATACATTTACAGTACTATATTGTATTTATTGGAAAAAAACCCACATGTAAGTTGACCTGTGCAGCTCAAACTTGTATTGTTCAAGGGTCAACTGTACTCAAAAAGTCTAATTTTAGGGGAAGGATTAAATACATTTGTTGTATTATGCAGTCATCACAAATGATGTTATAAAGATTATGAATAATGCTATGTAAAAAAGCAGATTACAAATATAGGTTCACAGTATAGCATAGTTACCAAACAAACCAACAAAACAATCAAAATATAAGAGAAAAAACTAAATTAAAAAAAACACATCAAAACATCTACTGTGGTTGATTTGAGCCACAGGTGACCCTTCTTCCTCCTTTCCTGTATTTTCCAAGTTTTCTTTACTGAATATGTCTTTCTGTTAAAATATTTCTTAAAAACTCAAAAAAATAAAAGGTCATATTTTTTCTCCAAAATTTTCATTAACTCTTACTTGCCACCACCTAGCCTTTGAGTTAAAGTTCTAATAGATAACAAAAAAAATGATGTGAGGTGGACTGGCCTAGTGGTTAAAAAGATTGAAAAGCTTAGGTCATGATCTCAGGGTCCTGGGATTGAGTCGTACATCTCGGGTTCCCTGCTCAGCGGGGAGCCTGCTCCCCCCTGTTCCTCTGCCCCTCCCCACCACTCGTGTTCTCTCTCTCTCACTCTGCTCTCTCTCCCCTTCTCTCAAATAAATAAATCTTAAAAAAAAAAGATTGGAAATACTATGACATGATTTCTTTCGAACGTTATCTATTATTTTGTGAGAGGCAGAGATGGTTATATATCTAAGGAAGTAATGTTTTCTGCTAGCAGAATTGTTCCCAGTTTGCATAGTGAAATCATACACACCAATATTTCTTTTTTTAATTTATTTTATTTTATCCTTTTTTAAATTGAAGTATAATTAACATACAGTATTATACTGGTTTCAGGTGTACAATATCAGGATTCAACAATTCTACCTATACATTACTCAGTGCTTATCAAGATAAGTGTTCAAGAGCACATACCAATATTCTTAGGGCTCTGTAAAAATGCCATGCATCATGATTCTAAGAATTCCTTAACCCGAGGAAGTCTGAAAGCATATTTTAAATATGCCAAAGATCAATGTAGTAGAACCTTTGGCTCTAAGACATTTTGGGTATTCATCGTTTCCGATGGCTGAATAATGAGGGCACGTGCTGTGATGAGCACTGGGTGTTATACTTAACTAATGAATCGTTGAACACTGCATCAAGGACTAATTATGTACTATACAGTGGCAAACTGAACATAATAATAAAAAAAAAGAAACACATTTAAAAAAGAAAAAGAAAGGCATTTTGGGAGAAGTAAAACTTCAAGAGTATGGTCTTGAGACTTTATAAATTAACACATTTTTCTAATTCTAAAAATAGACATTAATATGTAGCATTTGGGGTTATAATTTTTAACTTAGATATGATTTAAATATTGCTGCAATAGTATTAAATTTTTAAGTCATCAAGGAGATCATGAATCATTCTTATTGCTATTCCCTCCTTTTGGGACTCAGAACTTTTTACATTCCCCCTCAAGCTGGCATCGGGCTTTTATTTTATTTTATTTTTTTTAAGATTTTTTTTTTAATTTATTTATTTGACAGAGAGAGATAGCGAGAGCAGGAACACAAGCAGGGGGAGTGGGAGAGGGAGAAGCAGGCTTCCTGCAGAGCAGGGAGCCCGATGTGGGACTCGATCCCAGGACCCTGGGATCATGACCTGAGCCGAAGGCAGATGCTTAACGACTGAGCCACCCAGGCACCCTGGCATCGGGCTTTTAAAAGGCCTGAAGACTTATGATTTCTCACCCCAATTTGGACTCAAGATTATCCCTACCCACCTACCCACCCCTTAGACACAAGTTTGTCAAGGTCAAAAGATCAGGTGAGCACCAATTGCTTTCACTCTGCCGTCCTCCTCACCAGGGCTAAGCCTCGCCAAAGAGGAAAACAGCCCCATGCTAGGGTTCTTTAAGACATGCTGAGCAAAGGCCACAGATTGCTAAACATTGCTAAGTAGAACTGAAAACAATGAAATCATCTAGCTCTGTGCATAACCCAGTATCTCAGTCTGTCAGCATAAATATGTCTTCCCACAAAATTAATAAAAATTTGGAAATCAGCTAAGACCACCATGTTTTTCATCATTACCACAAACATCCAAAACGTCAGCCCCTCCAAGTAATTCCCCTTTGTCGCTGCACTCTGATCTCATTTCTGCTATGTACTCTCCGCCTCCTTGACCATCACACATCCTCCAATAGCTATACTTCCTGATAACCCTTTACACTGTTCCACTGTAAACAAATACCCGAAACCTTGAACCAATTTGAGCACCATTCCAGCAGTCTTCTTGTCTAAACTAAAATCTGAGTGCAGCTGTTCTTTCTCCCCTCAGCAAACCTACAGCATAGAAGTCATTCCTTGTTCATCATCGAGGTTCTTCACCCTCATGTCAAAGTACCTCTTTTGAGGTGTCTATCCTGTTCCTACCTCTCTCTCCTTGTTTCTGTCATCGACTGACCTCTTGGTCACTCTCCCACATTCGCCAAAGACTTTGGAACCTGGTTCAGAATCTTCCCACCCCTTGCTCTAGAACCATTCTGAGCAATTCACTTTCTGTGAAGCTGACTCCTGTAACACCCTAGCTTTACACTTTCCTTATCTGCTCAACCCAATAACCTTCACTTTCTCTGCTTCAGAAACCCATTCCATGGCCAGCTCTTGCATTCAGTCATAACCAGCAACTGCTCCTCTTAGTTAAGCTTCAATTTAACTTAATCTTAAATTCCAATATCCAGTCTCAACCACTTCATATCCCAGCTGCTACTTTCTGGTTTCAGTTGGTCCCTATTGAGCTTCAACTCAATAGCCCATCACTTCAAACACCGTCACTGCTAGAATCTCTTGCCTCCCTTTCTGCCACACTGGCCCGTTAAACCCAGACCAAGATCAATCCACTTGTTCAACTTGTCTGCTCACACGCTCAGGTTGCTGAGCCCTGAGATGGGGGGGAAGATCACTCACACAACTACATACACCAGAGCCATGAAAAATATGTCAGTACAATTTTTCTAAGTAATCCTGTTCCGTTAGCCCTCTCATTTCCCCCAATGGCCTTCTCAAAATTCTCCCTTTCTCCTCAAACTCTCTCCTACGATCATCATCTCCTTCCCCTATAATCTCAGCTAATGACTTTATCTCCGCCCCCCCACCTCATTGGAAAAATTCATCAAGTATACTGAGGCCCCAAATTCTTCACCTACCACCCAAATACTTCTTCATTGACACCATCCCTCCTTCCATTATTCCCACATCAGTGGAAACTATATTCCTACTTCTACTCAAACCCTGTATCTTTACTCCATTCCCTCTAATCCTAAGGATAATGTTCAGTCAATCCCACATACCTCCTTCTTCCTGTGTCAACTTCTCCCTTTCTACTGACTTCTCCTGTGAAGCATATAACCATGCTGACGTCCCTCTCATCTTGATACAACACGCGCTCTACCTACTATCCTTCAAGCTTTTGGAAAAGAATGTCTGCACTGCCTCCACCCTCTTGCAACCATTCACTCTTCATCCTCAGCAATCTGGCTGTATCTCCACCATGGAGACTCCACTGACATTCTTCTGTTGAAGACAATCAATCATCTCCTCAATGCTCTGTCTTATGTCAGGTGACCTATTTGAGACATTTGACACTGCTGACCACTGTTTCTTAAGACTTCTCAGTTTTCATTTAACAACATCCACTGGACACCTACTTTATAACAAGAATTGAGGATAAAATGATGAACATGGCACAGTCAAGCCTTCAAGGAGCTTAGAGTTAAATGGGAGAAGTTTCTATGATAATTCATACTCTTCTTTCAACCTCTCAGATCACTCCTTCCTTTCTCTACTCAACACTTAGAGACTGATACTCCCTCAGGACTCCTTTCTTTGCTCTTCTCACATCCATCCTGGGATTACCATGTTCACACTGCCTACTCACTGATGATGACAAATACAGATCTCTAGCTTAGAAGTCTATCCTGAACTCTGGACCCACTCACTCTCTATGAAAAGATATTGGTACTTCAATATCTCACTATCTTTTTTTCTTTTTTTTTTTTAAGATTTTATTTATTTATTTGACAGAAAGAGACACAGTGAGAGGGAACACAAGCAGGGGGAGTGGGAAAGGGAGAAGCAGGCTTCCCACGGAGCAGGGAGCCTGATGCAGGCTCAATCCCAGGACTCTGGGATCATGACCTGGGCCGAAGGCAGACGCTTAACAACTGAGCCACCCAGGCACCCCAACATCTCACTATCTTGATAGTATCCTCTGATGCACAAAAGTTTTGAATTTTGATGAAGTCAAATTTATCTATTTTTTCTTTGTTTGTTTGTGCTTTTGGTGTCATATTT